GCCTTTAATCTTTCCTGACTCAAAGAATGTACCTGCAGCTGGCCGACTGGCCCCTGAGGCAAATCCGAGGCTGAGAAGGAGACCGATGCAGTGACGATTTCCCCCAAACCAGAGGGTTTCCCCCCAAAGGGGTACTTCCCTTCGGGAAAGAAGAAGGGGAGACCCATTGGTAGTGTGAATAAGCAAAAGAAACAGCAGCAGCCACCACCTCCACCCCCTCAACCCCCCCAGATACCAGAAGGTTCTGCAGATGGAGAGCCAAAGCCAAAAAAGCAGAGACAAAGGAGGGAGAGAAGGAAGCCTGGGGCACAGCCAAGGAAGCGGAAAACCAAACAAGCAGTTCCCATCGTAGAACCCCAAGAACCTGAGATCAAACTGAAGTATGCCACCCAGCCACTGGACAAAAGTGATGCCAAGAACAAGTCTTTTTTCCCTTATATTCATGTAGTAAATAAGTGTGAACTTGGAGCCGTTTGTACAATCATCAATGCTGAAGAACAGACCAAATTGGTGAGGGGCCGGAAGGGGCAGAGGTCTCTGACCCCACCACCCAGCAGCACGGAGAGCAAGGCGCTCCCAGCCTCGTCCTTCATGCTGCAGGGACCTGTGGTAACCGAGTCTTCTGTGATGGGCCACCTGGTTTGCTGTCTGTGCGGCAAGTGGGCCAGTTACCGGAACATGGGTGACCTCTTTGGACCCTTTTATCCCCAAGATTATGCAGCCACTCTCCCGAAAAACCCACCTCCTAAGAGGGCCACGGAAATGCAGAGCAAAGTTAAGGTACGGCACAAAAGCGCTTCCAACGGCTCCAAGACGGACACTGAGGAGGAGGAGGAGCAGCAGCAGCAGAAGGAGCAGAGGAGCCTGGCCGCCCACCCCAGGTTTAAGCGGCGGCACCGCTCGGAAGACTGTGGTGGAGGCCCTCGGTCCCTGGCCCGGGGGCTTCCCTGTAAAAAAGCAACCACAGAGGGCGGCAGCGAAAAGACTGTTTTGGACTCAAAGCCCTCTGTGCCCACCACTTCAGAAGGTGGCCCTGAGCTGGAGTTACAAATCCCTGAACTACCTCTTGACAGCAATGAATTTTGGGTCCATGAGGGCTGCATTCTCTGGGCCAATGGAATCTACCTGGTCTGCGGCAGGCTCTATGGCCTGCAGGAAGCGCTGGAAATAGCCAGAGAGATGGTGAGTATGAGAAATTCTTACCAGCTTGCCCTTTATCTTCTTTTTGGTTCTGTTTCTTCCACCGTTACCTATTTCAGCCTTACTGTTTTAGTCTTAGTATCATGTTGTAATTCCTCCAGATCAGAGCCGCTAGGCCCAAATGATGGGCAGAAATTTGGAAGATTTATTTAACTTCTAATTTTATCAATAATATGTGTTTATAGTTTACAAAGTCAAGCTAGTGCAATACAGCTTATTAAAATAGACGTCCTCCAGCCCTCCTGCGATAGACTTCTCATTCATTCCCCTGCTAGTTTCCTGTTTCTAAACAGTAAGCTTCTGCTATTTGTGTTATTTATTGATCCATTTTTCAACATCTAATACTTATGAAGTATGCTATGGCGATATATCCTTTTTTCTAAAACTTCTCATATCTCTAAAATTACTAATTCATGTTATTATTTGCTTTTTATTTTTTTTGGACCACATCTCTCTAACTTAAACTTTGCCATTGAAATGTTTTTCTTTAGGTCTGTTTCATAACTATTGTATTAGGGTGTTCGTCACCATCATTTGTTTCTTCCCCCTAGTAAATGCTCTTTCCTGAATCCTGTATTTTTGCCTTTCTTAGTCTGGACTTTTACTTAATGGAGTGTATCATCCTTTAGCAATTTCCTGAGAAAGGGTGCATGGGAAGCACATACGTTGAGATTTTGCCTACTGAAAATGTCATTATTCAGTCATGTTTAATTGAAGATTGGTTGGGTATAGAATTCTAGATTTGAAATCATTTTCTCTCACTGTCTTGGTGTCATGACTGCTGGCTTGTCCTGTAGCTTCTAGGGTTGCAGTTGAGAGGACAAGAAGGGAGTTTTTTGTTGTTGTTTGTTTTGGGTTTTTTTTTTAATTGGTTGATTGGTTTTATAGAGAGAGGAAGGGAGGGAGAAATAGAAACATCGATTTGTTGTTCCACTTATTTATGCATTCATTGATTGATTCTTATTTATGCCCTGACTGGGATTGAACCCAAAACCTATCAAGAAGCATATCAGGATGGCACTCTACCAACTGAGCTACCCAACCAGGGCCTGGAGTTCTGATTTTCATTTGTTATATGTGTGTTCTGTCTTCTCCCTGGGAAGGTTTGAGGATCTTTTCATGTTCCCTTGGGGTCTGACATCTCAGAACGATAGGCATTGAGGTCAGTCTTTTTTTTTTTATTTCTTTTTTTATTAAATCTTTATTGTTCAGATTATTACATTTGTTCCTCTTTTTTCCCCCCATAACTCCCCTCCTCCCAGTTCCCGCCCCTCCCTCCGCCCTCACTTCCCCACCCACTGTCCTCATCCATAGGTGCACGATTTTTGTCTAGTCTCTTCCGGCATCTCC